CTGCTGCTGCTGCTGCTGCTGACTGCTACCGATACGGCAAAGACGTAGTCGACGATGACGACCATGCACTCTGAAAGGGTTCTTTGCAACCTGCTCGCAGGAGCCCCAGACGGAAGGCCAGCTGCAACATTGCTGTTGCACAGAAGTTTTCCATTGCCAGCTCCATCGGCATCAGCCAACATCAACTGCACCACTGCCGCCGACGCCGCCACTGCCCCTGCCGCCGCCACCGCTGCCACCCGTCACCGCCACCCGCCACCGCCGCCGCCACCGCTGCCATCATCATTGCCATCCTCGGTGAGGCTTGGAGTTAGCTTAGATTTTCCATGAGCATCATCTTTCTGGCGTGCTTTGGCACCTTTACTACACCAGCAAGTTGCCATGAAGAGCGCAAAATCCATGAGCTGAGAATGCCACATATCTTTGTTGGAGGTTCAGACTGCTTCCCGTGCCTGAAGATGGTGATTGGACACCCATCAGAAATCCTGCCAGTGCTTGCATTGAACTGTCTGCCAGGCGCGCCTGTGAACGGCGGCGATCGAACGCTGGAGACCCGAGTCTTTGAAACTCACTGCTGAAAGCTGTTTGGGACCATGTGAATCGTATTTGCAGACAGACCAGTGCGTAGGATTGTTCATGTGGGGTTTCGAGGGTCTCAAGGTTTTGGCCCCTCAGTTGGGGACCTACTGTTCAGATCTCAATAAATATAGTACCCTAAAATTGCAAGGACCCAAATAATGGAGTTCTAGGGCCCAAATACTAGAATATTAATGGTATTTGGGCCCTAAAGCCTCATTATTTGGGTCCTTGGACCAATGGCATGGAATTTTGCTGCTGGCATACGGCCGGCAGTCTCAGACCCTGGCTGGGACTATTTGGGGACAGGCTCCATCGGGGTAATATTGGGATATTAGGATAACATTCAGGTTACATTGGGGTATTTTTGGGATAATGAAAATAAAATGGAAACTACTACAATATAATGGGGTATATATAGTGGGTTCAAGCTCTATTCAGCCGCCTTGCTCACTGGGCCTGCCGTTGACAGCTGCTACCTCCTTTGGACTTCTCAGTCCGAACCCAAAATCACTCTTAAACCCCAAGTTGGGAGTCAGTATACTCTTCAACCCCAAGTTGGGAGTCAGTATCTACAAGCCGGAAGCCAAAACATACCCTAAACCCTAAACCCTAAACCCTCAACCCTAAACCCTAAACCCTAAACCTCTAACTCTTTGCGAGGAGCCGTGGGAACTGGAGGATGCATGGTGAGTCTGCACCTACTGAATACTTTAACGCGGTTTAGGGTTTAGGGTTTAGGGTTTGGAGGACTCCCCCCGCCCTGTAATAGTGGTATAATAGGAATATCAGAGGGCCCTAATAGAATCCCTATTATCCCTTATAGTCATTATTATTGGGTGGGGAGTTCACCTAATGAATACTCGAGTTGCTGCATCATGCTGCGCTCGCTCAGCTTCAGAAATGGTGATAGTACAGTTCATATTGTTGATGGAAAGCTTTCGCACTGCCCGAATTACCCTAAGTCCAAAGGTTTAGGGTTTAGGGTTGTCATTCCCGCTACGATGCAAGATTTCTTAATCCACCGGACTGACAGGGACCTTGACGGCGACTAGTGGAGATGGAGCTGCTAACCTTGAGGATAATGATGGGCAAGAGGGATATATGGGGGGTCTCCAAAATTAGGGTCCCATTTTGATTCCTCAAATATTAGGTGCCGTACTATAATCTATAACCCAAAGGGGCCCACAATTTTGAGAATAGCCCGTATGGGGTTATGTAGGATTTAGGGATATTCCCCCCCAAAATGGAGGATCAATGGAAAAGAACATGGAAAATGAAATGGAAGCTGGGTTCATGGCATGATGCATCTGGGTATCAAGCGTGTTTGTTTGGGTAACAGGGATGGTCGAGCTCGTCATGAGACATTGAAGCGGTAGTGATGACCGATACAGTTGAGATAGGAAGTCCTGACGACTATGTGATGGGGTGGGGTTTGGGTACTGCCCCCCCTCAGTAACAGTTGGGTAATAATTATAGTACGGGTGTATATAGCCCTTAATAGGACCTCTGGGGGGGGCAGTACCCAAGGTGGGGTAATGATGTTAGTGGCAAAACATGGTTCAAGCGACCATCTTCGGCAGAAGTAAAACACATCTTCATCTGGACAAATACGGAGACAGTTGTAGCATGGTGTACAAGATGATAAATGCGATGCAATCCCTCTATGCCCCTTTGAAGAGACATAAGGTTTCCATTTCATGTTGATCTTTCCTATTTGGACTCTTAATTTTGGGCGCCTAAGCCCGGCGAGAAAATTTGCAGGTCAGCTGAGGTGCGCCCGCATAAAAATTCTTTACCTGATTCAAGAAGGTGGGGGGTTGGCATTCAATCCTCCACTTGTGCACTTTTGGGTGAGGTTCCCGAAACGGAGGCCCTCTGCTTGAACCGA